TATACAATACAGAAACATGTATCATATAGAAATCCATACATGTTAGATTTGATGATAAGCTTGACCCTAAAAAGTCAAAGCTAAGTGAACAAACTGAAGATGTAGAAATAAGACTTGCAGGTTCCGAAGAAAGAACAAATATAAGTAACAAGGATGATGAACCATCATATCCATCTGAAAACTCAACTATACAGAAATGATATAAACTGAGACAAGATCACTCTGAAGAACTCATTCTAGGAAACAAGACAGAACCTGTCAAAACAAGATCCACCTTCAAGCAACCTGAGGAAACCATTCTAGGATTAGTTTCTCTAATTGAATCAATACCAATTACAGAAGCACTTCAAGATAATGAGTGGATTTTGGCAATGCAAGGAGAACTTAATCATTTCTCCAGAAATGATGTATGGGATCTAGTACCCAAACCCAAAGGAGTTCACATTATAGGCACAAAGTGGGTTTTCATAAACAAGCTAAATGAGAAAGGTAAAGTTGTCAAAAACAAGGCCCGATTAGTTGCTCAAGGGTACAGTCAACAAGAAGGATAGAACTATCCAAATGCTCTAGATAAAAATCAGCTCGAGGACCACCAGATTCATAAAGAGAATAAACATTCATAACATTGTCTAAGAAATAAAGAAGACAATTGTTGTACCCCAAAATTTTCCCTCTTAATTTCTCAAGAATTCTCTCACAAGATCTCCATTGGCTCAAGAATGCACAAGGTTTGATCAGCTCAAGACACCTCATCGAGCACTGATGACTCAAAATTAGGGTTTGTGTTTATACAAGGACAATTGGACTTTTAATGCTTCATATGACTTTCATGGATCATTTTGGACTCCCAAGATTGCTCATGTCAAGTTTCAAGTTTTGAATCACATTTTTGCTCAGTCAATTGATTAGTTGACCTGAAATCAACTATATTGGGGAAAAAGTCAACTGTGATCAATTTATAGTCAAACTTCATAATTTTTTATCCATATTAACATTTTGAACTTCTATGTGTCAATTGATCAAGTTTGGATCATAATTCCTCAAGAAATTTGATCAGATCACCAAAAGGGTTAAATGGTCAAAATTAGGGTTTTGACTGAAGAGGCTTAATTTTTTACTGTTGGCCAAATACATGACTTGTTGGTTTGAGACATGATATACAGGATTCAAATTTATCATTTTGACCTAATGGTATGGTTCAAAACACTTCCAAAGATCAATTGATTGATAGTTGAAATTCAGTCAACTAATGAAAAGTCAACTAATACACTAAAAAGTCAAACTTTGACTTTTTGATCAAAATCAAGTTTCAAAAATCATATTTCATCAAAACATGTCAAATTTGAATTTTGTTCATCAAAAATCAAAAAAGTTAAAATTCACTTTGAAAAGTCAAAATTTCCAAGACTTAGAAATTTTTCTAAGTGTTGGAAATTTTACTTTTTTTCATAACTTTGTGCCAATTTTTCATCATGATGCAAGGTGATTCAAGAAAAACTCCCAACATGAAAGTTGTAGACCTCAATGATATCTAAAACTTTGTATAAGGAATTAAGTTCTAAAAATGCTTGGATTGCAAGCTATTAATTCATGAAGACATACTCATGAAACTTAAACACTTAGTAAAAATTTGCCCTAGTTAGGCAGATTTTTGGTACCAACTTCATGGAAACTTTTCACCTATTTCCAAATTGATTCTTCAAAAATGTCCAACATAAAGGTTGTATATCATGTTACAAGCTTTCCAAAATGTCCAAGAACTTATTAAGATTATTCTTAAGCTAGGAGAATCGAAGGCAAGAAGTTAGGGTTTCAAATTTATTTTTCAAGTCATTTTCATGATGAACATTTGATCCAATTCCAAGTAATGCTGCATAATCCCACTTTTCAGGCCCTCTAACTTGTGTATCTATCTTTAATAAGAAGATTACACAAGGTTTTGAGCTATTAACCACTTGATTTAAGCTTTTTCTAATACACCTTGCCATTTAAGAAAGAAAGTCACCACTTCCATTTTGAAAAAGCAAGCTTTATGCAAAGTCAACTTGTCTTGAGCTTTGCATTTGTTCTTTCTGCACACACAACATATATAAGTCAGAAGCAAGCTTGTTTAAAGTTCAACCATTCTACAGTAGCATGGTACAAGCTTTTGGAAGATGTTTGTCATGGTTGCTTCAAAAACAAGTAAAGGTGTTACAACTTGATAATTCAAATTCTGACTTGTTGTAGCACATAAAACCTCTTGCCTATAAATACATACACTATTTTCAAGCTAAAGCACGATTACACAAGCCCTTAAACTCTCCCAAACTTAGAAATGCATAACAAACCTCCACCGTTGCACCTTCTGACCAAAAACTCCAAAATTAGGAACTATTCGTGCGTTTCTTGGCCTTTTGGTTCCAAAAGCTTCTAAACATCATACATAAATAATCCTAACACCTATTATCCAACTGTAACTCCATCTGCACCAACCTCCATTTCCAAAAACAGGACATTGCATCTTGACTTCTCCAGACCATTCCATCAACGGACAACTCTCCCTTCGTGAGAAGTTAAATACCGGGGTCATCCAACACGAATTATCCCCGATGGCACCACCTCGGGTGACGCAGTGGGTTTTTCAATGCTCGGGCAAGAAAGGGATTCTTGGATGATAAATTTATTCCCACCTTTCTTCTTTGTGCTTGCGAGATTCGAGAGTATGTCAGCCCGCATGTTCTGTTTTCGGTGTACATGTTTAATTTCTTCCCGACTGAACTTTTTTTATCTTTTCTTTGACTAGGTTTAGATATTTGATGAGGCTGTCGTTCTTAGCCTAATATTCTCCTCGAACTTGAGATGCGACGAGTTGGGTGTCCGTGAATATTTGTATTTCTTGGGCACCCAGATCCTCGGCCAGCCTTAATCCTGCGAGTAGGGCCTCGTATCCAGCCTGGTTGTTCGACGTGGGAAACGAGAGGGTGAGGGAACGTTCAATCACGACGCCTTCCTCGTTCTCGGGGAGGATTTCTGCTCTGCTCCCCGTTAAGCTGGAAGCTCCGTCTACAAAAATGGCCCACTTATGTTTCTCTCCTGCGGGGGGATCGTGAGTGGTCATCTTTGTGACGAAGTCGACCAATGCTTGGGCTTTAAGGGCCTTTCTGCTCTCGTATTGAACGTCGAACTCCGAGAGCTCTAGGGACCATTTCAGCATTCGATCGACCATGTCTGGTCGACCTAGGAGCTGTCTCACGGGTTGGTCTGTTCGTACGATGACCGTGTGGGCCAGGAAGTAATATCTAAGTCTCCTCGCCACGTTGATGAAGGCTAAAACTACTTTCTCAATCTCTTGATACCTGATCTCGGGACCTTGTAACACACTGCTCGTAAAGTACATTGGTTTCTGCCTGTCTGGTGTCTCGCGAATGAGGATCGCACTTACGACCTCGGTGGAGACAACCAGATAAAGGAACAACGTTTCCCTGTTCTCTGACCGTGATAACACAACGATTGTGAGAGGCTTTGCTTTAAGGTGGAGGAGGGCGTTTTGGTTATCATCGACAACTTGGTCGACCATGACAATCGTACGCTTTGATGAAGAGTTGCTTTGGTCTTGAGAGGAAGACAGAAAAAATAGATTCCCACAGACGGCGCCACTGACCGTATCTGATCAGAAGGGATTGTCAAAGCCCACAAGTTTCAAGTCGAGCAACAGTTGAATATGAAGTGGGGGGAGGGGTACCTGCAAGACACTCTGATGCCAAAGGTTCCGAGCAAGTGCAAACAAGTATGAGAGTATGAGTAAGTGAATGAACACATGACCCTTTCAGGTGAGAGGGAATTTATAGCCTCCAGTGCTGGGCCAAGGTTCCCATTGCTGGGCTGAGCAAGCAAGTCCAAAATGGAGACTGCTAGGTCCTACGTGCGTAGTGGGGCGAGTACGTGGTCCTCAACCTGGATGAAGTCCTCCGAATTATCCGGAGAGTATGAATGCGGTCTTTTCGGGATCAAGAAGACTCTATGACATTCAGAGGTGTTGAGTGTCAGTCCTACGAGGAGGATGCTCGCGAGGTCCCTCTGACCGTTGTTGGTCCTCCTCGTCAGTCGTGAGATTGCCCCCGAAGAACATATCCTAGTCGACGATAGGAGTGGACGATGCTCGCGACGAAGTCCTGAGCGTCATTGACCCTCGTCGCCAGTTATGAGATTATCCCCCTAGGATAAAATCTGATCGACCAAAAGAGTAGAATTACAGTCTGACATGGTCAATGACAGACTCTTTCCTACCGGCATTCACATACAGCATAGTTGCATTAGACTAAAGTGCAAATTCAATCCAAAACAACAAATGAATTCGTGAGTTTTTACTATAGTTTCATAAATTACTATCACTCCCACATCGTGGTAAATGTTTTAAATTTTGCTTTATATTCCACACACTTAAATTTTACACACAAAATCAAAATAACTTTTGAAAATTGTTAAAAAAGGAAAGTGAAAAGAATAAAGGGCATTATGATTGATTTATTGCTTTTTTTGTTGTTGTAAATGTGGGGCATAATGCTCCACACAGCGTGGCATGTTTGTTAGCCTTGCAGATCATCGCCACGTCCAGGTTGCCGACCTCGAGGGTGCTTACTTTGCATTGTTGAATGGTAGGTGTGCGGTGTACACAATCCCACCGATCAGTTCATATAATGCCAAATTTGCGCCACATCCATGTAAGTATAAACGTGACCTCACGTGATCAATTTTCGCACCTCGTCAACTCCTCTGTAGGTTAATTAATAAAATACTATCTACACCCGATTTTATTCCATTTCCACCCCCTTCCAGAAAAAGGAGGTTAGAAATATCAAAGTTACAACGTGTCCTCCAAGCTCCGAATCACTCACATATCTCGTGCAGTTCTCTCTCTCTCTCTCTCTCTCTCTCTCTCTCTCTCTCTCTTCGTCGTCTCCGTCTCGAAAACGGTTACGATCATCGTTTTTACGCTCAGTTCATGATCTTCAGCAACGATGCTGGAGGATCAGGTTTCGTACCTTTTACAGAGGTACCTTGGCAATTATGTCAGAGGTCTCAACAAAGAAGCTCTCAAAATCAGTGTCTGGAAAGGTTCATATTTTAACTAATTCATTGGTTTTAGGCTTTTGATTTTTCACTTCTTTGTTCAATTGAATTATGAGTGATACTACGAGTAGTGTCTGGAATTTGTATAGTGGTTTCAATTTATGTTCAATTTTTCACTTCACTGTTCAATTGAATTATGAATGATACTGCGAGTAGTGTCTGGAATTTGTGTAGTGGTTTCAATTTATGTTCAATTCAATCTGTTGACTGTGCCTACACTATATTGTGTATTGGCAAATTGTGCTAAGAAATTGGTGAAATGCGAAAGTTCTGCATTCTTTCAGTTGGCATAGTTTTGATTTGAATCCGAGGGAAATGAAGTACTGGATCAATGCTTCTGTTATTTGCAAGTGTTATTTGGATGTGACGGAGAATTCAATATTTAATTTGTTATTTAGTGGCTTGTTATTCTGAACTCAATGTGCATTTGCGAGCAAGGTCGATCAATCTGTGCATACATTTTAAGTAAATATATGGAGCTTAATCATAAATTATTGAGAGATTTAATGAGCTTCCGGATGTACATTTGTGTGCTTTTGCTTTTAATTTTCTTGACTTAAATATTTCTTTGATACTTTTATATATTTCGTCTCTAAAACCAAACTTTGAAACAGGTGATGTAGAGCTGAAGAATATGCAGCTGAAACCGGAGGCTCTAAATGCTTTAAAATTGCCAGTGAAGGTTAAAGCAGGTTTTCTCGGATCAGTGAAACTTAAGGTTGGTGGGACATGAACTTCTTTATCAGAAACTTAGGAGTATAATGTATTGAATCTGGTTAGATGTAGCTGAACGGTATGTATTCCTTTGTTTCTTTTTTTGAGTGGTTATACTTATCGGTAGATAGAGACTGTTTATTAGGCGAGGGTTACTAATCTGGACCATTTAGCATATGTTTGGATTAGCTTTTTTTCATTAAAATCACGGTGCAATAGGCTCCCACTGCGGGAAAACTGAAGCTACTAATTGGAGCTTCTTTCAAACGCGCGTTTTTTTTTTTTCATTTCTGCCGTGAATTCAAACGTACTATTAGTCTTTCATGAATGCTCAAGATTTGTTTTATCTAAATGTAGTTCATGACCTTCTATGCTACATTGAAAGGTCAAACTTAGTTCAACCCACCTTTGAAACTCCCACTTCATTAGCTCCATACACAAACATTTGAAGTAGCACTTTTTAAGTATTCTATTTTCAATTATTTTCTCTGTTAATTTTTTTTTTGCCAAATTTATTCTCCAAATCTGTGTAAATACATTGGTGTTGAAAACCAACTATTTTATTTATTTTTTATAATTATATTTGCTCATGTTTTTTGCTTTATGGTTTTCATAGTCAATCATCCATTTTGAGAATGATGACATGTTAAGCAAGCATTGGCAACAATATGGATGTCAGATAATTTGGAATTTTTTAATAACTGTTTTCTTTGTTCTATTATTATAAATGACAATGCTATATGTAGGAGAGCCAGTTCCAATCGTCTATGGTTCTATCCTTGTTATATATTTTGGTAAAAGACAGAAATTGCAGACCCGTGGGGGTTGTTATGGGGTGTGGTAGAAGTCTACTGTCAGGATAATTCCTTGTTCTTTTTCAATTTTATATGATAACTGGTCACTTCCCTTGTTTGTAAGCAGACTATTTAAGTAGCATATTCCTTTCTCTATAAGTGGTGGTCATATTTGATGTTTGTATTTTATCAAGGTTCCGTGGAGTAGGCTTGGCCAAGATCCTGTTTTAGTATATTTGGATCGCATTTTCTTATTAGCTGAACCTGCAACACAAGTTGAGGGATGTAGTGAAGATGCAGTCCAAGAAGCTAAGAAGAGCCTAATACAGGTAATAATAAGTAGGAATTGGGAAAATGGCATAGCTCGCTCTTACTTAACAATTTAACCTGATGATGAAAAATTCATTCCTTTCCTTTTGCAAACAGGAGACGGAATTGAAACTGTGGGAGAAGTCACAACAAATACAGTCAGAAATGGTATGAGGATATAAGCTTTACTTCACTTCTTTATAGTTTTTTTAATGAATAGAATGTTTTCCACTTTGGCGGTTCCATCTATCCACCCAAGGTTCTGTAAAACTGCTCTTTCTAATTTCTATACATGCTTGAATGCCTGCTGCCTAAAATATTTGAATGACTGCTTGCACGTTTCTGCGTGTTCAGGAATAATTTGTATTAACTTTGTTAATATATTTGTTTAATTTTAAGAATAAGTCATGGTTGGGATCCCTCATCAGCACCATTATTGGAAATTTGAAGCTTTCAATTTCTAATATTCACATCAGATACGAAGACAGTGAGAGGTAATGGAAAATTCAAATAAAATAAAATAGTTGTCTTACAGATGTTTAATCTTTCACCAGCCTGATATGTTCTCTCCTGTAGCAATCCAGGGCACCCATTCGCAGCTGGTGTTAGTTTGGACAAACTCTCGGCTGTGACAGTTGATGATAGCGGGAAAGAGACTTTTATTACTGGAGGTGCACTAGATCGCATTCAGAAGGTTCTATTTTTGAGTTATTATAAAATGATTTGGTTGCAACATTGAAATCCATATGCACTAGTTTATACGCTTTTTAATTTGATTAGTTTCTGAAGTATATCTTGCATTACAATAAAAGAAGGTTAGCTTAAATTTTCCATTTTGAATTTTTCTTGCTTGAGAGTAAGAAGCTTATTTTGATCATATTCTTTGATTTTATTTTATTCCCTTATTTTATTAGCCTTTTATAAGGATCTTATTACTTACCATTAGAACTGAATTACTAGGAGTTGTAGTTAAATCCATTATTGCCAAACGAAAACAGTTTTAGTGCATAGTCCAAAATGATTATTGTCTTTCATTTTCTATAACTATATCATATCTAGAGTTCTTTTGTTGTTAATGTCTTTTGTCCTTATCACTTTTGCAGTGTGTTGAACTTGATCGGCTTGCCGTTTATTTAGATTCAGACATTATTCCATGGCATGTTGACAAAGCATGGGAAGATTTGCTTCCTTCTGAATGGTTTCAGGTGTGTACGGTGGATAGTGAATAGTGAAGGCCAAGTTATAAAGATCCTTTTATCAGTTACTTTTTATAGTTCTTTTCTGTCTAAATTTATACAATGTAATCCTTTTATTTGTTTCCTTTGTACTCCCCCGTCTCACTTTAGGCGTTCCTTTTGATTTTGCACATTTTTTAAGATAATGATTAATTGTGTTGATTTCAATGATAAAAGAAATATCATTTACTAAAATACTCTTATTAATAGTAGTTATTGGAGTAGTTAGATGAGTTGAAATACAAAAAATAAGAGCATATAAGTGGAAAAAATAATTAATACTGCATTTATATTTTAATGTGACAAATAATTTGAGATGTGGAAATATTGCAAAAGGGACATAATGAGACAGAGGGAGTAGTTCTTTTCTGTTAATTTATACTATGTATTAAAGGAAGCAAAGAACTGGTTTGTACCTCCAAGCAGTGGACATTACAGAGAAAAATAATAATGTATCATGCAAAAGCTATTCTAGATCAACCAAAAGTACAGGTTTAAGAATCTAGTAACATTATCTGGAGAGAAAGAACCTATTACCATTCAATAACTGGTAATATTACTAGATTCTTTAACCTGTTATTTTGGTTGATCTAGAATAGCTTTTGCATGATTCATTTGTGATTTTTATTTGTAATGTCTAGTGCTCGGAGGTACAAACGAACCAATCATTTGCTTCTATTTAATAGCTTAAGCTTTTGGGTTCTATGACTAAAGGAAAAAATAATTATGCTGCCTGGTCTTGAACTGTTAAAGGTTGTATCAAAGACCTATCACATCCTCTACAATTTATAGAATTTGTCTCCACAGGATCGGAGGTCTATATGTTAGAGACACTAATACACTTTGTGCATCCTATGATTCTTATTGACTATAGTCAGTACTCAGAAGAGTTTATTGTGCTACAAGGTTCTTTTAGACAAACCTGTTTGAACCATTTGGATAATTTGGAATGTTTTACCTAAAAATTTATTTCATCAACTAGTTCATATTTTTGGTTCCCCTACTCTCCTATTATTAAGTTTATTGTGAGACAAGGTTCTTTTAGACAATATGGCTTTAGTTTATGGAACTTTTGACACAGGTAGAGTTGGAAAAAGAAAGCGGTGCCATTCTTTCACTTTTGCCTAGGCTTTTTAAGATGCAATTCTTTAACATTGTTAGAATACAACAACAACAACCAAGCCTTATCTCCCACTAAGTAGGATCGGTCCATTGTTAGAATATAATATAAAAAATATATAACAAAATATCTTATAATAGTATATATTATATTATATTAGACATAATGTTAGGACACCTGACTACTGATTTGAGTAACAAATTTTCAATTTTGGATGTTAAATTTCAGTTCAAAGTAGTGTTTGTTTACTTTTTATATAAAATAGTTGCATTTCGAGTGATTTGTTTGCAACTAAAAATTCTAAGTTTGCCCATGCTTGGGTGAAAGAAGAGTTATCAAAGCTATTATTAGGTTTGTTTACTTAACCATTTAATTAGTAAGAGTGTAAGAATAAATAAAACAAATCACACGAGAGAGTCTTGCTAGGCTTGGGGAATAGTGGGTGTTGGACTTTGGAAAGAAGCACTGATGGATGGCCAACTTGTAGGGAAGTTTATGATGCAATGTTATTTGGTTTGAATGGAACCCCAAATATTTAAAGTAGAGTAGGTGCTTTTTGCCTCTAAAGGAATGATTCATTTGATTTCTTTGGAAGTGGCATGTAATTTTCTTTTGTTTTCTCCATTTTATTATTGGTCTACCACTCTTTTTGTCTCTCATGTCGACTCTCAAAAAAAAACCAGATATTTAATTTTGGAACTAAAGATGGGAAACCAGCAGATACTTTGTCGCGAAAACACTCATATATTCTGCAGCCGGTAACTGGGAAAGCAAAGTACTCAAAGCTGCATTCGAGTGAAGTTGCTGATAGCAAACAACCATTGCAGACGGCTGTTGTGAATTTGGATGATGTTACAATCAGCTTATCTAAGGTTCATTTGTTGCTTCTCTTTTGGTCATTTTGTTGTGTGAGATTGTTATTATTTTTGAGGATAATCTTTGCATTTCTGTCTTTGCAGGATGGATACAGAGATATGATGAAATTAGCAGACAACTTCGCTACATTTAATCAACGTCTAAAGTATGCTCATTTCCGTCCACGGGTGCCAGTAAAAGTTGATTCCAGGTCTTGGTGGAAGTATGCTTACAGAGCTGTATCTGATCAGATGAAAAAGGCAAGGTATTTAAACACAGTTTGATTATGTTCACAGCCTTATACATTACTTGTCAACTTCTAAGATTTTGATTGTTAATTATTGTAATAGGGTTATAGATAGAGAAGAGGAGATAGGTTACATATAGGATAATGAGGAATATGAGAGGTGTGTTGACTGTAATTCAGGTTGTTGTATGTTATTAGGCCAAGAAATAGTATCTCTGACTATTTTCTGCTCTAGGATTACAGTCTGTTATAATTTCTTTTCAATCTATGATATAGAATTTTGCTGTTATAATTGTAAAAATATTCAGTAACTTCAGAACATGTTTATCCCAATGAAAATCATATTCTTTTTATAGGAAATAGTCCATAAAGACACTCCATAAATTAAGGAGGGATTAAGAGATAAAATAAACATAAAATTGTGTGAATATTTTCAGATGTCAATATTAGAGCTTTGTGAGATCTGATGATGATTGTTATTCTTTACTTATCATGTTTGGATGTTTATACTTCATACCTCTTGGACTAAGGTTATTATATTTCTGTCAGTGGAAAAATGTCATGGGAGCAAGTTTTAAGATACACAAGGTTGCAGAAGAGATATATTTCTCTCTATGCTTCACTGCTCAAGTCTGACCCCAGTCAGGTTACAATTAGCGGAAGTAGAGAGATTGAAGATCTAGATCGTGAACTTGATATTGAACTTATACTGCAATGGAGGTATATTGTTATTCTGGGTTATTTGTTTTGGACGCTGATATTAACATTGATAGATGAATAAAAAAATATTTAATGCTCATATTAACATTGATAGATGAATCAAAAAATATTTAATATTGATAAATCATGTAGGAATCATGGTGTCATTAATTAATAATAAGTTTATTAGCAGTGTTGCAAATTATGGGTTGTAGCTGAGATGTCAGCTATTTTAGTTATGCTTTCCATACTAATTTTGATTGTAAAAAATTAGTAAGAGTAATATTGTATTGTATTACTGTTTTGATAATAGATAAAATAAGTGTTAACAGTAAGCTCTGTCTGTTAATATTAACTGTACTTATTCTATTATAAGCTCTTTCTTTTTGATTTTGGACAGTGTTGACTTTTGGTCTGATAGTGTACAATAGAGTAGATCAGTGGAGTACTTAAACTCTTCAATAATGCCTTACATTGTCTTAATGCCAGCTATCCATTTCTGAACATGTATGCTAGAGTTGTAAGTTGTATACTCTATTATACACTATCATGGTCAGAGGGCCTTCTTTATGATTGTTTAAACTACTTTTTTGGTGTGTATGTTTTGAAAGTAAAAACTATTAACAAAAACTTGTAAATTAAAACTGTTAAAAAAGAAATGTGTAATAGATCATTTTTGGCCCCTTGACTGAGTAAAAAATATTCTTCATTCTCCTGCAATTGTACAACATTGCAATCTGCATATTTGGATTGAACTGAAGATTCACACATATGTATGCAATCTATGTTAGACATTGGAACGTTCTTGTTTATTCTTCAATCTTGAAAAGTTTATGTTCATTGCTGTTTGTAGAATGTTGGCGCACAAGTTTGTGGAGAAATCAGCGGAGTCAAATCTTAATGCGAGGAAACAGAAAGTGGGGAAATCTTGGTGGTCATTTGGATGGTGTGGAGTCTTTTCTAGAAATATTTGAATTTAATATTTCAGCCACTAAATAATGGATTTTACTTCAGTTTTGACTGTGCTGCTCACCTATATTCACATACACTGTCAGGACCGATAACTCTCCTAAAGAGGATACAGAGGAATTCAATTTCAGTGAAGAGGACTGGAACCAGTTAAATAAAATGATTGGGTATAAGGAGGGTGATGATGGGAAATCAGATGTAAATAGCAAGGCAGATGTTGTTCATACTTTCCTAGTAGTTCACATGAATCACAATGCTTCAAAACTTATTGGGGATGCAAAAGAGCCTGTTGCAGAATTATCATGTGAGCATCTTAGTTGCTCAATAAAGCTTTATCCGGAAACAAAGGTTTTTGACATTAAATTGGGTTCATATCAGTTATTATCTCCAAAAGGCCTCCTTGCAGAGGTTAGACTTTTCTCTTACTCGTTGGTGTGATTTTTTCTGCATTTTGATTTTCATGCTTGCAAAATATATGTGGTATCATGAACATTTGTTTAACATCCTTTCAGAGTGCAACTTCCTATGACTCATTAGTTGGTGTCTTCAACTATAAACCCTTTGATGACAAGGTGGACTGGAGCTTGGTTGCCAAAGCTTCTCCATGTTACATGACTGTATGGTGTCTTTCAATTTCGTATCCTTTGACCCTCTGTTTGAGTTTTTATTTATTTGGTTTAATTTTTTACTGTTTTTTCTTTGGAGTTTGGACAGTATATGAAGGATAGCATTGATCAAATTGTGAAATTCTTCGAAAGTGATACTGCTGTAAGTCACACCATTGCACTAGAAACTGCAGCTGCCGTGCAGGTATTGTATAACATCTCTGCTCTTAAGAGTGTTGCTAACTGGTAAAATCATATCTGATACGACCCAGGAAATTAATTAAAAATTTTAAGAGGCAGTTAGACTTTGATAGGACTCGAGATGAGAAGATTGATTCAAAGAGACTAGTAGTAACTAAGTTTACTATTGATATGAAGCACGGACACCTCTAAGCGTAGGCGTGTTGCGGTGTCCGACACTTGTACGACACATGTTGAAAAAGTCAGACAGGTGTCGGAAAAGTCAGACAAGTGTCGCCAAAAAAATAGTTTTTTTTTTGGTATGCGTCGACACTAGTTGAATCGGTGTCGACACAAGTATGACACTCATACAAACTCATGTCACACAATTCAAACAAGTTTTTCAACAAGAAATTGTTGTTGTTTTTGTTTCATCACACCTTACACATTTTTTGGATAAATCTAATGCACGTCTAAAAGTTTTAAATATGTTTTAAAACAATGATATCAATGAAGAATTAAAAATATTAATTTTGATTAGAATATTTTTAACTTCTAGTGATTGAGGGATAAATGAAACTCAAATATTATCATATACCTAGCGGTGTCGGTGTTCTATATTTTTACATTATCGGTGTTAGAGTGTCCGTGTCGTGTCGCGGTGTCCGTGTTAGAGTCTGTGCTTCATAGCTATTGAGATGAATTAGTAACTAGTGGGGTGTCTAACTAAAATAAATATTTTATTAGTTATTTTAGTAGCAATCTATATTAAAGATTTTATTGAATAATATCTTCTTAATAAAGATATGTTTCAATAATATCTCCTTAGTCATAAGAATATTTTATTAGTGAGGTAGAATAAAGATTTTCTGAATAATATATGGGGTTAAGTTAGAATAAGAGTCTCACATTGGGCAATAAATGACTGGGACATAAGTGGGGTAATCCTCACCTTATAATCCGGTTTCGTAGGAATGAGTTAGGTTCAATCACAATTTTTAAGAGTGCGGCCTATTGACATGCAACATATCAGTTGCGTTGATCATATTATGTACTTCTATCCAAACAAGAGACTTCCCTTAAGGAGGATGAATGGGATCAAAAGAGTGAAGAAGGTTGTTATTCAGTACTTTTAACAGAGATTACAGAGACACTTAGTCTCACTAGTACAGCAAGTGTGTTAATGTAATTTGTGTAATAGGAGAATTAGTCTCCGGGACAACAATTGTATTCCTTTGTTTTCTGCAATTTGGTGTTATCAAGGACCTTTGGATTTTCAATTGGCTGATCAGGAGGGGTATGGTAAGAATTGGTAGAAGGATTTACTAGACACGAAACAAGATAAATCCGAAGCACAAACTCTCCCATCTGGATTGATACTGAGCAGAAATGAATACGATCAAGTTATACCAGACTCGATTCCAACTTACTAGCTTCCCTGTGCTTAAAATCTCCACGGAAGATTTATTGTATTTTGTTCACATTTTCATCTGTATTTTTTTATTTAAGAAATGTGGTTTGGTCTAACTTTACCTTACAAAACTAGTTTAAACTAATTTATAGGGTGAGGATTGTCCCTATTTATAAGCACGTGTTAGGCCACATATTATCCGATATGAGACTCTTAGCACACCCTCTCACGCCGAAGACTGAACATCTGTAGTGTAGAAAAAAATGGTAGGTGGGGATAGTGGAAACCTGATAGCAGGTAGCCCGCCAAACCTTAAACCAGATTCTGATACCATGTTAAGAATTGTGGTTTAGGCCTAACTCAATCTTATAAAACCGACTAGTAGAATAAGGATTGCTCCCATTTATAAGCACATATTTAGGTCATATATTGGTCCAATCTGGGACTCTTAACACATCGATTCATGCCCATGAATGGACATCTAGAGCGTGGAAATAAATGATGGGTGATCTGATAGCGGAAACGTGATATTAGGTGGCCTTCCGGATCTTAAATGAAGCTCTCTTAACATGTTAAGAAATGTGGTTTGGCATAATTCAACCCTACAAAACTGGTTTAAACCGTCTTGTAGGGTGAGGATTGCCTCCACTCCGGTTATATATTGTCTGATGTGAGACTTTTTAACTTCTTTCATTTTCTCTTTATTTTGTTATATTTGTGTCATTTCTCAATATATAGCATGTGTAGAACTGGATTTAATTTGTCATGCTGGAGAATTCTGCTGCTTAATCTTTTGTGAAAAATAATGTTCTTATTTGCTCGGATCATTGTTCCTAGATGAAAATTGATGAAGTTAAGCGCACTGCCCAACAACAAATGAACAAAGCATTAAAGGATCATGCCAGGTGATTTTCCTTTCCTGGTCTTCTAACTTTGCAATATGTGAAATAGAGAGAGCCTATGATGCTTGGTGCTTAAGCAGGAAACAGTTGTATACTATTGTTGAAGAATGAAGATAGGAAATTTCGTTGCTAGGAGGTGTGTTAGATGTAGGTAATTGAAAATGAGGCGTATTAGATGTAGGTAATTTTTTTTTTTTAAAGTTGTTAATTTATAAGTATCAACAACTTGTTTATATTAATGATAGATGTAGGTAATTGAAAATGAGTTAGATTTAAATCACACTTGAGTACTATTAACCAGTGATGCATGGATGAAGTGAGTGTTGGATATGATAATATACAATACTGCTATTTGAATCTTACTCGAGCATATTAATTAAATATAAGATACATGTTTAGATATGCATTAAAAATATGTAAAACAATGAGTATAGAACTGTTGTAGTTATATAGTTTTAGGAAAAAAACGATAGAAGAAGAAGAAATAAGGACTTTGAATCATGATTATGATTTGATATTTTGATTACAAGAGACTAAGCACCAGCCTTATATGCTATTACTAAACTTGGGGTGTGTTTGTTTCAAGTTATCTAATTCCATTCCTTGGAATCATATTCCTTAAATTATTATTGCTAGGAATAACATTCCAACTTATGTGTTTGGATAAAAATAAAATTTTCTCGGAATGTATACAAATTTATTTTTAATTTAAAAATTATAAAAAATCAAAATAGTAATAAGTTGAGTGTAGAAGTGGGAAGTTAGTGGTAATTGAATTTATTTCCATGGGAATCTTGTATTCCCATCCTTTAACCATGGGAATAAGTATGAGAAACATAATGTGTAAAAAACATTCTTTGGAATAAAATTTACCTGGAAATAATTTTTGAAAATTTCAAACAAACATAGGATTATTGCTTTCCACCCATAACATTCCCGAGAATCTAATTTTTATACCCGAAACAAACACACTCTTGTAGTTCTAATCAAATCGAATTGAATCTTGGAAATGACTAATAAATATGAAAGTTAATATTTGTTGATATTCTGTATATAAAGGAAAAACATATTTTAAATATAGGAATATTCTGTATACAAAGGAAAAACATATTCTAACATATTCCATTTGTAATTAATACTCTGAATTGTATATTGATTTATTTTTGAGTATGTAATAGAACCTTTGTGATGCAGTTGAGACACACGGTTTCACCACATGTCTTTCGATTTCTCTCTTATTCAACAACATTAACAGATAATCCTTGTCTTTCAAATTCACTAAGATTTCTTGTCAAAAAGCTATTTTTTCAAAGAAATAAATTCAAATCAAGCTTGAACCGAAGAGGCATATTCTTGTAGAGGAGCGGCGCAACTACAATGCTTCCTATGAGTCAAATTTGTATGATTTGTTTGTAGAAAAAACACAGAAGTAGTGCACAGAATACAAAATTTTCAAAGAAACATCCAATTGTAGGCCAAATTAGAGAAACACGGTTCGAGATTGTGTGTGCATATGCTTCTTTTGTTGAGGCTGGAACTTCGAGATTGTGTATGTTGGAATTAGTAACAATTATGAAATATTGGAATTAGTAACAATTATTAGTACGAGAAGTTGTAACAATCTAGTCAGTCTTGCATCTAGGAAATAGCATTATTATTAATCTCATTGTAAATGTAAATTGCAATTATTTCTAGTAGTATATATAAATAGATCAGTTGAGTGCAAATCATTCAAGCATTTTACAAATCTCTTAATCCTCTATCAAGAGTTTGTTTGTTTCTCCATTAAGGGTTTCTATCTTTGGTCCAGTAGAACCCTTGAATCTTTCTTGGTTTGCACATAAAAAAAAAACTTCCATTCAAAAGTCATTGTTACCTTCATTTTCTGGTCTCCATCTGTAGTTGTTGCTTGCTGGTCCACTATGTTTTTTTGAAGAAAATGGGTAATCCTCAATGTGCACATTGCAAGAGAATGGGTCACACTCAAAAGACATGTTACTCTCTTCATGGTTTGTCTAGAAAATCATCTCATAGGTCGACTGCCACTGGTGTTCATGCTTCCACAACCTTCATATCTCAATCTTGTAACAATCAAAGTCTTTGGATAATTGATTCAGGCGCCTTTGATAATGTTGCTGGTAATCGTTCCTTATTCTCTTCCATATCTTGTCCTAATTTTCTCACTTCATAACTCTAGCCGATGGTTCTAAGGTCACCGCTAAAGGAATCAATTATGTTTCTGTCACTCCTTCTATAACTTTGAAACTAGTTTTGTTTATACCTTGTTGCCCTTTTAATTTAATCTCCCTTAGTCAACTTACACGGTCTCTAAATTGCTCAGTAACTTTTGATGTTTGAACGTTTACTATACAGGAACCGTGGTACGGGTCGGACGATTGGTTCAGGACATGAATCACAGGGTATTTATTACCACCATTCAGTTCCTTCTGTAACTTGTACTGCGATTGAGTCTCCAAACCTTCTTCATGAACGATTGGGTCATCCAAGTCTGTCAAAATTAAAACTGTTGAAATACAAGAGATTAAAAAACATTTAAATAAATCGTGTGTCGAATAGCACAACGGAAGATGAATTATTAGGGAAAAAATACAGATCGTAGTATTAATGACATAGATATCCTACTCTATTCTAGAATATACTAAGGAAATTCTTAGAGAATATTCTCTTTCTACATATAGATATGTAAATATCAACATTCACCCTTAAGCTTGAGCATATAAGTCAAATGCACCAAACTTGTTACATATATAGTTAGTTGGAGCTTCGCAGGGATTTTGTAAGTACATCTGCCGATTGATCATTAGAGTTGACAAAGCTTGTGACGATGTCGCCTGACTCTATCTTCTTTCTGACAAAGTGACAGTCTATCTCAATATGTTCGGTTCTCTCATGGAAGATTGGATTTGAAACAATGTGCAATGCAACTTGATTATCATAAATAAATGTCATTGGTCTCGCTTCTTCAATTTGAAGTTCTTTGAGCAACTGTTTTAACCAAATAAGTTTACATGTTGCCATTGCCATGACCCTATACTCTGCCTCGGTGTGTGATATTGCAATTACATTTTGTTTCTTACTTTTTCAGGATATAAAGTTTCTTTCAACAAGTACACAATACTCTGAGGTGGATCGTCTATCAATGGGTGATCCTGCCCAATCATCATCGAAGTATCAAACTATCTGTGTATGTCCTTTATCTTCATACACAAGACCTTTTTCTGGAGCGCATTTGATGTATCTCAGAATCCGGATAACAACCTCCATGTGTTTCTGACAAGGGAAATTTAAGAACTGACTTACCACACTGACTGCAAAAGAAATGTGTGGACGAGTGATTGTGAGATAATTCAACTTTCCAACCAATCTTCTATATCTTCTTAGGTCAGATAGAGGCTCCTCCTGAATGAATAGTAGTTTGACACTTGGATCCATAAGAGTATTAACTGGTTTAACATTCAACAACCCTGTTTCTTCCAAAATATCCATAGTATATTTCCGCTGAGAAATCACCAAACCATCTTTAGATTGGGCTACCTTAATAGCCACGAAATAGCAAGGTTTACTAAGATCTTTTGTCTGAAATTGATTCGAGAGATGTTGTTTCAACTGGAGTATTCCCTGTTAATCACTACCAGTTATGACAATATTGTCAATAGGAAATACTTAAATTATGTGATTTTGTTATAATTACATTTTATGTTAGTTGCTGAATATAGGTTAGGCTATCTCTAATTGTATAGAAATTATAGGAATTAGAATATTTGTATCATTAATGTCATTTATGACTTATGTACTATATATGGATAGCATCATCTCAATGAAAAGACAACAAAAACAAAATTTCTGACAATGGTATCAATAGGTTATCGATCGAACCTATGTGTTTTTTGTTGATAAGTGTTCTCTTCGTTAATATTATTTCTCGTTTTTTTTTTTAGGTTTGACTCTTGTTTTGTTTTCGGTGATTCTTGTTTTGGTCCTCTTCACTGCTTTTGGTCTTCTTTTGGCTTCTTTTTTTTTTCTCGTCGATGTTTCTTGCTGTTGGTTCGGTTTCATGGCTTCGGAAAAGGAAAAAGAGAATTTTTGTGTTCGATTTATTGAAAAACTATCCTTCGTGGGCATTTCAATTTGAAATGTATGTGAAAGGGAAATGAATGTCTGGGCATCTCAACGGGGTTTCGAAGGTTCCAACCGAGAAGGTTGCGTTAGATACATTGGAAACAGGCTCAAAGAAGGTAACATCGGTCAATATGAGGTATCATTATAGAGTATGTGAATAGCAACGATAACCTTTTTGCGATCGATGATAATCAAGAAAGACACATTTTAGTGATCGAGCTGATAGTTTATCAAGACAAGGAGAGAGAGATTGTGTACAAAACATGTAGACCCGAAGATTCGGAAAGGAATTGGGTGAAATGGGGAATTGGTAAAAAGGATTGAATGAAGGATTTTATTGTTAAGGACAGATGAGGCCATGTAATTTATAAGATAACAAGCCGTTAGTACAACATCCCTCCAAAATTGAAGTGGAACATTACCATGGAGAAGTAGGGTCCGAGTGGTTTCTACGAGATGTTGATTTTTGCGTTCAGTATTCCGTTTTGTTGAGGTGTATGAGGACAAGATGTTTGGTGGAGAATACCATTGCTGGATTTAAAAGTTTGAAATTGTTGGGATAAGTATTCACGAACATTATCACTTCTTAAGGCACAAATAGACACATCTCACTGAATTTTCATTCTTTATAAATTTGTTTAGAAATAGAAAATAATTCCGATCTATTTTTCATTAAAAATAACCATGTGCAACGTGAAATATCATCAGTAAAGGTGACAAAATACCTAGGCTCAAGAGTAGAGACAGTACGCGAGGGACTCCAAACATCAGAGTGAACTAAAGTAAACGGAGACAAAGCTCGTTTATTGACTCGATTGGAAAATTGACTATGAGTGTGTTTTCTTAACTGACACGACTCACAA